TCTTGCTTTTTGGGAAAATGACTAAAGTTCCTTTTAATAGTAAAGGTGAGCGAGCAAGTGATTTATTGGGATTAATACATAGTGATGTATGTGGACCAATGAATACACAAGCCATAGTGGATTCCATTACTTCATTACTTTCACCGATGACTTTAGTCGGTATGGGTATATTTATCTTATGTGCCATAAATCTGAAGCCCTTGAAAAGTTTAATGAATTTAAAAATGAAGTACAAAATCAACTAGGCAAGAGTATTAAGACACTTCGATCAGATCGAGGTGGAGAATACTTAAGCATAGAGTTTCATGAACTTCTAAAAGAATGTGGGATTGTCTCACAACTTACACCACCTGGTACACCATAGTGGAATGGAGTTTCTGAAAGAAGAAATCGGACACTGTTAGACGTGGTTCGATTGATGATGAGTCATAGTGAACTTTTGACTTCTTTTTGGGGACATGCACTAGAAACAGTCGCTTTCACGCTAAATCGTGTTTCATCTAAATCGGTTCAAAAGACACTATACGAGATATGGACTAAGAAACATCCCAGTATATCTTTTATGAAGATTTAGGGTTGTGAAGCTAATGTAAAACATCATATGTCTACAAAGCTCAAACCTAAATCTCATAAGTGTATATTTGTTGGATATCCTAAAGAAACTAAGGGATACTATTTCTTCAACCCTAACGAGAACAAAATGTTTGTTGCTTGAACATGAGTTTTTCTCGAAAGAGAATTTCTCTCAAAGAAATGGAATGGTAAAAATATTGAACTTGGAGAAGTTCAAGAACAACAAATAAATGAACCTGAAGTTGAGCATGTTTCACAAGTTGTTGAGGAGCATTCAACAGATTTAGAAACACAACCACTGCGTAGATCCACAAGAGAATGCCGTGCACCTGAGAGATTTGGATTTCTCGTTACGACACATGGAGATGTTCTTCATATGAATCAAGATGAGCCAAGGACTTATCATGAGGCAGTGTCTAGCCCAGACTCTGATAAATGGCTTGAAGCCATGAGATCTCAGATGTATTCCATGTCAGTAAACCAAGTATGGACTTTGGTTGAACCACCCCAAACCTATAGGTTGTAAATGGGTTTTCAAGAAGAAAACCAACATGGATGGTAATGTACAAACAAACAAGGATGATTAGACGCTAAAGGTTTTCGACAAGTTCATGATGTAGACTATGACGAAACATTCTCCCCTATAGATATGTTTAAGTCCATCCAGATCTTGCTCGCAATAGTTGCATTCCATGATTATGAAAACTGGCAAATGGACGTCAAAACCACTTTCCTTAATGGAAAACTTGAAGAGGATGTGTATATGACACAACCAGAAGGTTTTGTCATTCCAGAAAATGCTGGAAAGGTTTGTAAGCTATAGATGTCCATTTATGGACTAAAAGAAGCTTCTCGAAGCTGGAATCTTCGTTTCAATGATGCAATCAAAAAGTTTGGCTTTATTAGAAATGAAAATGAGCCTTGTGTTTATAAGAAGGCTAGTGGGATCATTGTTTCTTTCCTAATCTTGTATGTAAACGACATACTCATCATAGGAAATGATATACCTACTTTACAGTCTGTTAAGACTTGGTTAGGTAGTTGTTTTTCTATGAAAGATTTGGGTGAGGCAGTATATATCTTAGGAGTTAAGATCTATAGAGATAGATCAAGACAACTTGTAGGTTTGAGTCAAAGTACATATATAGACAAAGTGCTGAAAAGGTTCAGTATGGAAGAATCCAAGAAAGGATTTTTGCCTATAAGACATGGCTTTCTCTTTCGAAGGAAATGTGTCCTTCAACTTCACAAGAAAGAGAACGGATAAATAAGATTCATATGCTTCGGCTATTGGTTTTATCATGTATGTCATGATATGTACTCAACCAGATGTATCTTATGCTTTAAGCATGACGAGTCGGTATTAAGAGAACCCTGGTGAAAATCATTGGGTTGCGGTTAAAAATATCCTTAAGTACTTATGAAGAACAAAGGTTAAATTTCTTGTCTATGGAGGGGAGGAAGAGCTTAGTATAAAAGGTTATACTGATGCCAGCTTCCAAACTGACAAGGATGACTCACGATCTCAATCGAGTTTTGTGTTTTGTCTTAATGGAGGTGCTGTGAGCTGGAAAGGTTCGAAGCAAGACACAGTAGTTGATTCTACAACAGAGGTTAAATACATTGCAACCAGTGAAGTAGCAAAGAGGTTGTTTGGATCAAGAAGTTCATATTGAAATTAGGGGTTGTTCCCAACATATCAGATGGTGTATAACTCCGTTGTGACAATAATAGAGCCATTGCACAAGCAAAGGAACCCAGATCTCATCAACGATCCAAACTTATTCTTAGGCGCTTTCATCTCATTTGAGAAATCATAGATCGAGAGATGTGGAAATATGCAGAGTACACACGGATGACAATATTTTTGATCCCATGACGGAGCCTCTTACACAGCTGAGGCATGATCGTCACACTGAGTCACTTGGTATTATGTATGTGAGTGATTGGTCTTAGTACTAATGGGAGATTGTTAGAGTATGCCCAAAGACCAATCATATAATGATTGTAATAATATATTTATTTATCGATTTTATTGAATAAAGACATTGCCACTATTATTTTCAGTTATGTGTCTATGTTTAACATACACTGAAAGATAATAAAGTCCATATAATAACATTATTAAAAGATCCATAATCAATTATTATTATGGGCATGAACAATAATAATATGCTTAAGACTAACATGATATTGATTGATGACAAGGAGTTGTCATTGACATAGAGATGTCAGAATTGATACATGATTATATTGTTAGAAAACAATATATTGGATTGACCCATCATGAGCATATATTTTGGATTAATATGTAACGGTCATAACATTACTGATGGTGTTGACTATATGTATAATCCTCAGACTTGAGATCAATGTAATTTCAACATATATTATTGTATGTTTTGATACAATTAAATATGCTCCGTAACATGTTACACTACAAAGACTGTTATTGAATATATTTCGATATATGTAGTGGGGTGTATATGGTTAAGATAAGATTTGTCCTTCCTACATAATAGGAAATATATCATAGGCCACTTGATTGAGTGAGACTAGAAATACGTAGCCATACTTGAATAAGTTGATATGTGATATCATATTCGTTAATTATAGTCTACTCTAGATATCAAGAAACAATAGATAGGCTATACAAGTGTGACTATTCTAAGACTTATGCATATTCAAGATATAAAGGACAAAATGATGTAATACATAAAAGAGTTAATCACGAAGATGATATGTCGAATCATAATTTCTTGTAACTTAGGTGATAATGATATATTGCTAGATGTCACTCATTGTATGTAATATTAGAATTTTTCTAATAATTACTATTAACGTTACAAGAACCTACAGGGTCACACCCTAAGATTGAAATGAGCAAAAATGTACAATTTATTGTATGTTACTAAAATATATCTAGAGTTATGATATGTATATTTGATATACATATGATTTTAATTATCCCGAATATAATATGTAAGCATTAAAAGAATGTAATTTATATTACAACTCTTTTAATTAGTATATATAATTCGGAATAATTAAATAAATTTTTAAATAAACATTAAAGATTATAATTCAGATTATAAGTTTTTAATGTATATTTAATTGAATAAATTAAATAATATTTTATTGTTAATTCGAAATAACTTTGAAAACCCTAATATATTAAGGTAATGGATATAAAAGGGTGTGTTAGGTCTAACAGCCGTTTTTAACACACACATAAACCTTCATCCATTTTTCTCTCAAAAAAATTTTGGGGAAAACAAATATTGCTCTCGATTGGGTGAACTGTGTAGAGGCCGAGACATGATTTCGTGGAGGCTTACGATTCGAACCGATCTACACCATCAGTATTCATTGCTGTTCTTGCTGTTTTTCAAAGAACCCGCTATAAGTATTCGCATCCCTTCCTCCCGATTTCGATTTTACGTACTTGGATCGCTTGGTGAGACCGTCGAGTTTTGTTTCCGCTATGTCGTGGGGTACGCCGACGGTCCCAACACAGTTCTCATGGACAAGTACCACCAAACAACACATTTATGCATCAGTAACACTTTGCTAATAAGTACTAACATAAAGTGACAACTTTTCCAGAAAATAAACTAAAAAAACCCTCATCCATTAAACATTAATGCAGAAGTTGATAGTACATGCAAAGAAAGAATGAAGCCATTATATGTACCCAGTACCCTCCCATTGTAGCCAAGACTCCAAGTGTTATGCAATAGATGCAACTATCATTCAAGTAATGACAGATTCCTTGTGCATGGCAACCTAACAAAAAAGTGACAAACAAAACTTTAGAAAACCATTCACTTTTCCATTGTTATAAAGTTGCTTCATAATAAATTTAAATATGAACCAATGATTCACAGTTAAGTTAATAATGATCTAATAGATAAGGTCAAATCCCTATTTAGTACTATGAGACTATTCGATTCCAAATTTACAAATGATCTAGTTTAATGCTCAGGGATATTCCCTAAAGAAATTACCTGATGTCAATCTTCTAATGCATTACTTTTTTCACTTACATATCTTAATAGCTCTATCCCTCGCCCTCAGTAAATTATCAATTACTATGATAACAGAAATACACATCTATAACACTCATATAGAGTAACGATAATTTGAAATCTAGACACATATTGACCTTTCCTTCTCGATGTTACCCTCCAATTGTTCAGTGGGTTGTGAACGAGGCTTCAAATCTAGACACATATTAACCTGGTTCCCATTTTCACTGCCAGCTGAACAAGGTTTTGAAGTATTCACATATCCATCTTCATCATAACCCTGGTACCCTTTCTACCACCCTGTATTCCATCCTCAATTTTTAGTCCCCTTCAAATTGGTTTGCTAACATCGCATCAGAATACTCCATCCCAGCCACAACATTCATTTTGTTGTATGTCTTATCATCATAAACGTGGGGATGCAAGCCATTTTCTGTTTCCGAGTGTTTACTAACATCAACATCTTTCTGATACAGAACAGATTGCTTTGACTACCATCGACCCAAGTAAACCTTGTCAATAGCACTAGCATGAACCAACTTCGAGACAGCGGTTTGTTCAGCACGAGCAACACTCACAGTCGCTACCTTCCTAGCTGCCCATGCGTTAGGATACAACCCAGAAGCAGCCTGCCTATGGTTACTCCGTACACTCTACTAGAATAGAGATTCCCCGAACCACTCGACATTAGAACTACCGGAGCTGACAAATATTGACCCAAAATCCTCCCTGCATAAACAGACTCTGGCTTCTTTTCTACATGACTAGCTTGAACCCCAAAACACTCATCGGTAATAGTTCTACGAGGGGCAGAACCCCCATCTAAGGACTTCCTTTCATCCTCCTCAAAATAACGACCAATATGAACTGAGCTAGAAAAAAATTGAGTTTTATCATCAAAATGCCTCGTTGTAGGAGAAGAATTAGGACGGTCATGATTATCAGGCTGCCCTACTGGGTTTCCCCAGGATGTAGCTCTATCAGAACCTGAAAGATCGGCAGGCCTAACAGTCTTGCACTCATAAAATTTGATATTAAAAAATAGGGTTCCATTAGCAGATCCGAAGGTTAAAAATTTTGGATTACACCCAAAAAAATGGAGTTTTATCATCAAAACGCCTCGTTGCAGGAGAAGAATTAGGACGGGCACGATCATTAGGCCGCCCTACTGGGTTTCCCCAAAATGTAGGTCTATCAGAACCTGTACGATCGATAGGCCTAACAATCCTATACTCATAAAATTTGATATTAAAAAATAGGGTTCCACTAGAAGATCTGAAGGTTCAAAATTTTGGATTACACCCAAAAAAGAATACATCATAAACAAAAAGACATAAGAGGAATGAGAATCAGATTCAAATGGAATTTGAAACTTGGGAACTTACACGCCAGGGGCAGAAGGGAGAGGAAGATCAAATGGAATAGAACCGCCATGAAAATCTTTTAAAGTCATCGTGCTTCCATTGAAAGTTCTTCTTCGACATTTTTCCCCTTATTCCCTTGCCTCCCCAAGAATAAAAAGAATCCCCCACTTCCTCTCTTTCTTTCTAGAAATCTTTACAAATTAAAAAATCTATACTTGCAAAAGAAAGAATATTGAAAATATAAGAGGAACCCCGATTTATTGAAGCTGGAAATGATACGTAAAAAGAGAAAAAGAAATATAGGAACCAAAACTTGAATTTTGAATCTCATTATGTATTGTGACAATTTTTTGTAAAAATAATTATAGTTTATAATTATAAAATGTCACTATATAAATTTTTTTTACAAAAATTAGAGATAATCATTTGTGACTATATTTTGTCACTATAATTAAAATATATAATTACAAACAAAATTTGTCACAACAAATCTAAATCTCAGTATTTATTGTGACAATTTTTTCTGTCATAGTTACTAAAACTTTTAGTTACAAAAGTTGTCATTATATACCTTTAATTTGGCGCCAAAAATTGGAGGGAAACAATTGTGACAAAAATTAGTATTAAAATTTATTTTGTCACCATATGTTACACATTTTTGTTAATTGTGACAAATTATTATGACGATTTTAGCTTTTTTTCATAATTGTATACCTTTTTTTATCTAATGCGATGATTATTTATTTTGTCACCAAAAAACTACTAACCGTGACAAAATTAATTTTGAGAAAATTAAATTTGTCACAATAATAGAAATTTCTTATAGTGTGGATTTAGTTTATGAGACAGAGCAAACTATCAGGATGATTAGGGATAGATTGAAGATTGCCTTTGATAGATAGAAATCTTATGCTGATCTAAAACGTAGGATATCGAGTATGATGTGGATGATTAGGTTTTCTTGAGGGCATCTTCGTGGAGGACGGTACTTCGTTTCAGTCAGAAAGGCAAGTTGAGTCCTCGTTTCTTTAGGCCTTATTAGATTGTACGTCATGTAGGACCAGTGGCCTACCAGCTTGATTTACAACCTGAATTTTCCCGCATTCATGACGTTTTCCATGTTTTTGTATTGAGACGTTACCGAGTTGACTCGTCTCATATGTTGGATATGGATAAGGTAAAGATCCAATCTTATATGAGATTTGAAGAAGAGGCAGATGAAATTCTTGATAGAGATAAGAAAGTTCATTGGAGGAAGATTGTTAAGATGGTCAATGTATTGTGGCATAATCGGGGTTATGATGAGTCTACATGGGAGACCGAGGAGACCATGAAGCTCAGTCTTTGCATCTCTTTCTTCAGGTAAATTTCGAGGCCTAAATTTTTTTTAAGGGGGGAATTGTAACAAATTGAAAAATCCTCAAATTGAAATCCTAAAATTTGTAAAATTTTAACCTAGATTCCTAAATTAAAAATAGTGACCAAATTGTAAATTTGTAAAGCTTCAAGTCGTATTTTCAAAACCCTAGCAAAAACAATGGCTTACCTTACAATTATAACAATTTTATTTGAAAAAGCACTTCCCCTGCCCCAATATAACTCTGCCGCCCCTTTTATTTTTAAAAACCTAACAGTAGTCCCATTCTCTCTCCAAGCCACCGCCGCTGCTCACCTTTATGACGTCGTTCACTTCGTATGTCCAATCACGTAATCTCGCAGATCGTCCCTATTAACCATGTCCCTGCTATTGTCGATTCGGAGAAGCGTTCGCACAAAACCAGCGAGATTTGCTCGCTTAAACCCCACTACCGTAGTGTAATTGGCCGTTATGGATGTGTCGAGATAGGCGCTCGATTGGGGTCATCTTCGCCAACTGTGTGGGTGTTGTTTTGGCTGCTGATGTGCGTTTGTCCCTTTCATATCGCCGCCGTTGTTGGCATTTCAAGGTCACAACAAGTGTGGCTGTGGCATCACTGACCCTTGGGGGCTGCTGCTAGTGCAACCCGTCGTTGGCAGTTCTACTTTTCCTGTACTGGCAGTAGCTGTATTCGAATGAAACTCCATTACTTGTTCTATAATCGAGTAAAATAAATTTATTTATCGTTAAAAAATATTTCAAAAAATGTATTATTGGATTTGGATTAAGTTTATACGTTATTCTTTTGCAGAAAACTCTAAACTGTGAACCGAGTTACCTATTCCGCCACTGTTGCCCCCGAACTTCACACTGAACCTTTATAGCCCTAGTCGATCGTGAGTAGAAACTGAAAAAGGTTAGTTTGTTAATTTTTTAAATTGATTTATAAGAAGTTATTTATTTATATTATTTGTTGTAGGCACAAATTCAGACCGATCTTCTACTCGAGCTGATCGTGGTAGAGGTTATTAAATTCGTTATATATCTCTCGAGGAATGTCTCATTATTTGGTTCAATATTATTTGTATGATTTTGTTTGCTCCGCTAGTTGATATTATGATTGAAAGCATGATTTACTGTGAGGTTGTCTCTGGTAAACGAAAGTTGAAATATCTTGTCGTGTGATGCATGTTTTCCTATCAGACCCGGTGCATGAATGTACTTACTTTATCTATGAATGTGGTTTTGACTTGGATACGTGCTTCAGAAATATAAATGCTTCAGAATATGAACTTCGTATAATTGTTATGAAATATTGTTAATCAGATCAAATCATACATCGGATATTCTATCATTTTGCATATCATGTTGGGACGAATTCTGATAGGAGAAGTTTAGTGCATTCACTCAATGGGAGAATATCACATTTTCATATTCAGTGGCCTCTGTCTTTGTTGCAGACTCCACTTATGTGATGTGTGGGTTGGAATTAGTGTTGTTCTAGGGAACCCACTCTTTTTTGAGATTGCCATTGTTGTGTTGTCATATGATTGTTATTTCTTATTTCGGACTATGTTATTACTTTTGTTTGAATGCACTTTAGAGGCATAATAAGCTTATTAGCTTACAACCCCTTAGTTTCTCTCTTCCAGATTATCGAGTTAGGATGACTGATACTTGGAGTTCGACATTATTCTTTTTTTTCCAATATTTTCAAAGTATGCCATTTATAAGGTTTTCAGATATTACATTTTATTATTTTATTTGTATAATATTTAATATGTTAAATATTTTGGGATATTGGATTTAAACATTGCTTGGACTTTGGGACTTGAGCTTTGGAATTTATAAATGTTCATTTCATGTTTTTAATTATTGTAAATTTATTTTGGTTACATTAAGTATTTGATTACAATAAATGTGAGGGTAAATTTCAATGTATTTAAACTGATGTTTGGGTTCGTTTTGGGAAAACAAGATTATGGGATTCATGCATCCGACTTTTTCCCTTTAGGTCAGGTAAAAGGGGTTACACTAGGAACCACAATATTACATTTTATTATTTTATTTGTATAATATTTAATATGTTAAATATTTGGGATATTGGATTTAAACATTGCTTGGACTTTGGGACTTGAGCTTTGGAATTTATAAATGTTCATTTCATGTTTTTAATTATTGTAAATTTATTTTGGTTACATTAAGTATTTGATTACAATAAATGTGAGGGTAAATTTCAATGTATTTAAACTGATGTTTGGGTTCATTTTGGGAAAACAAGATTATGGGATTCATGCATCGACTTTTTCCCTTTAGGTCAGGTAAAAGGGGTTATACTAGGAACCACAAAAATCTATGAAATAATAGAGTGGTTGACACCATAAGTGTTGTTGCACTATAAGTCGATAAAGTCACAAAGGACTAAGAAAAAGGGAAGAATTAACAAGTATGTTAATGAGCAAAAGATGATTGTACAATACAAATGCCTCAAGTATTTATTAGAAATGAATATGCTTGGTCGAATGGATACATGTTTATTTGGTAAGCCTTGTTACCATTCATAAAGACATGTTTTATTAAATTACAAAGCCACTTGAATAAGGGTGTTGGTTCGGCTTGAATGAGGAGTTATGGTGCTTGGCTGAATGGTGATGAATACATTCATGTTGGTGCCTTAATGAGGAGAAATGATGATTTGGCCGAATAGAGTGCACTCGTTGGTGTTTGCTGCCTATTTTTTGTCACGTGATGTGCACAAGCTTAAATTTTGCACATGGTAGCCTCCTTGCTTGCACATGACTTCTCATGCCCTAGGATGTATGCCAAACTTAATGTATATGATCCTCCACATCTAAGGAATGTGTTATATTCTGCCATGGTGCACTCTTGATCTTTGGTGAACATGTGAGTGTCAAGTAGGAAGCTAGGTAAGTGTGATTTAGGATAATTCAAGCTAGCTACCTACTGACACTTCCAGCCACTCAGTTTCATATTAGCTACTCTCCAGTTCCCTTTAGCTTCCATTCAGCTCCCTTAGCTAGACTTAAGCTAAGTTCTTCATGTTTGATCTCTTTCCAACTATTTTTCCTTAGTTTGCCCTAATTTTGAGCTGCCATGTTTGTTGTTTAGCTACACTGAGCTTCCATATGATGCCTCGCCAATGTGTTTACCTATGTTTATAATGAAAAGAACCAAACGAGTGATGTGTGAGCTAGAATCAATCCAAATGCATGTTGATACCTATGTTAATCATGCATATGAGCTAAGACAAGCTAGGAATAAATGCATAAGCTAATATAAACATAATATAAGTTAACTATGGATATGCATAAGCTAAAGAATGATGCAAACTCATGATATAAGCATAGATTAAGCTAGAAATAAATGTGTAACATATCATATGCATGAAATAAACCAAGTATAGAAATATGGGGCTATAATATGCTACATTTAAGCTTGCAACATATCATATAACTTGTCTTTTAAGGCTGAAAAGGTTTCAAAATAATCAAAAGCATTAAGCCGTCTAAGTGAAAGCACTTCCATAAATTATTTAGCCTTTGAACGAGTAATAGGTCATTGCGGAAATGTTTTTCGATCAAGTGTAGGTGTGTTTACGCTATCCCCTTTATTTGAGGTGAGTTATCCTCAAATCGTGGCTATCTTCATAGGGAGAGATGTCCAAGATGTTGAATGAAACACTTACACTGCTAAAGTATCTTCGTAGGTCAAATTTGTAGGCATTATCATTCATATTATCTACAATTTGGAAAGGGTCATCTCTCTTGGTAGAATTTTAGATTTCCTTTGATTTGGAAACATTTCATTCCTAGAATGAAATCCATCATGCATGTACTGCTTGTCATAGAATTTTGTTTCACACAATATATACCTTTCTCCAAAATCAAGATCAGTAGCATATTACTCTTTAATAAAGAAGAA